CTAAATTTTCTAAGAAATGGTAAACGCAAGAAACAAAAATTAAAAGCGTACTTTGAAGGTCATTGTGTTAGTATTAGTAATATACATAGAAATATTTATAATACAAAGGCGTAATGTCACGGATATTATTGATATCAACTAACATTTAATTAGTTGCGCTCCCTACTAGGGCTCATCACAGCCGGCAGCCGCCATCTTGTTGTAGATTAGTGAAAAATCCTGGCTTCACGTTGCGGCCAACGTGCTCCATCTGTTGGTCTTATGTGATTGTTGATTAATTCCTTTTAAATATGCATACTGGTAAGGTTAACATGGGAATCTCTAGAGCCACTGGGGCAGAGGCCGAAAGGATCTTTGAGATAAGAGTATGTCTATATGTTAATCTGGAACGTAAGCTATCATACCAAATTTCAGCTCAATCCGACCAGTAGTTCATGCGTGATTGAACTTCAAACAAACACACAAACTTTCACATTTATAATATTAGTATGAACAAATGTTAGCATGTCTGTATGTTACCTTTACCTTAAATATTATTATTGCATTGGGATCGGGATCATCTTAGCTAGATTGGTATCATGACCAACAACCGATCCTTACTTTCTACTAACTTTTTGTCACTGTAAACCTACTTTTGAAAACCTCTGATTTTAATTAATCTGATCCTTATAAGTCAATCAACGAATCAACCCACGCCTACTTTTACCACCTTACTACTTTATACTCTAAGACTAAGATGTTTTGAACCCCTAGTGTAGTTAGGCTGAAAAAATATTGTTAAGAAAAAACCTATGCTTTTGCAAACTTTTTGTTTGTCTTAGGACGCTAGGCACGAGCCCGCGATTGTTTTTCACATTACTTCAGGCTAATAGATGGTGATAGACACACAGTATTTGATATATTTTAAAGAAAAGCATCCAAATGGCACAATGCCTCATCCGGAATTGCTAAAACTATCCAGTCAACTAAATGCCTAGATTGGAGTCAGTTGAGATTACAGCTGAACATGTAGAAAAAGTTACAAGAAAATTGCATGGGAGTGGAGTGGCAGGCGGGAGTACTTCTGAACAATGTACAGATTTTTTACTAAGGCATGGTAGAAAAAGTGCTTTTTTAAGAGCGTCAATTGCTGAATTAGCAATGAAGTTAAATGAAGAAATCATACCTTGGTCAAAAATACAAGCTCTTATGGCTAATCGGTTGGTTGCAATCGACAACCTGGTGTTAGACCGTTGGGTATAGGAGAAGTGCTCCACTGTATCGTAGCAAAATGCATTCTTGAAGCTGGTGATGAAGTTATTGACATATGTGGCACTGGTCAACTCTGTGTAAGATTAAAAGCAGGAATAGAAGGCACAATACATTTCATGAGAGTAGTGAGCTGACAGATTTATCAGCTGATAGATGTTTTAAATAGTTTATTGAATTTTGGTTGCTATGAAAAGAAAAATAAACAAAGAGACATTCTTTTAGGCTTTTCAACCAAAGTGGTTCATTTTTATTTGCTCTAAACAATTAATTGTTAATTACTTGTAAAAGTATGATAAATTAAACAATAATATTTAGTGGAAACCTCTAGACTTTTATTTAAAGTATTTATCCTATTTAAATGAGGTTCTTTTCACTACAAGGACGTACCCAGGATCAAAACTAGGGAGGGGCAAGAGCGTACTTGAAGAAGGGGCGGCACACCGGGGGGCCTGAGTATGGAATACCCCCCAGAATGTAGGGGGGGTCCGGGAAAAATTTTAAAACAATATGCTGAAATTAGCGTATTTTACGCTATTTTTAGACATTAATATAACAAACCTAGCTCGATAATCCAGTGTTTAAGTCTTAGTTTATGAAGTGGCTTTATGTCCGTCAATGGGGTCAGGTCAGGTTGCTTAGCTGTACAATAAACATTTAACTGTATTTTTGTGTCCATGCCAACTTTTCAAATCCATTTATAACACCCGAAATGTGTGGTACCGTAAACTATTTTGAAGAATGCCTGATAACTTATGTCGTAGAGCAATTTTGTTCGTTACATATACATTATTGTTGAAGGCAAATAAAAACAAAATAATGTCACAAAAAATAGGTTTTTATTAATTCATTATACTGAACAAAGTTGTTAGTTTATACATATTGCAAGAAATTGGTCTGTTTATTAATAATGTAGGAATTTTTATTTTATTGAAGAAATAACTCAGAAACTAATGAAAAATTGATAACATGTGTCAAAAAATGTCATAAAAAATCTGTCTATCTTACTCATCTTTTCTCGTACTAATACAATTTTTCTTGGATCTCAATTTTTTTATACCTTTTCCTGGCTCCTACCCTGCCCTTCTCTGGGTACGCCCATGATGAGAGACCAATATGAAGAAAAATGTCAAACTGAAGAAGACAGCTGTATGATAATGGTTGATGCTGACAATGCCTTATCACGTGTTTACTCAAAGAGCACGTGTGTTATTTGTAGCAGCCAAGAATTAGATGGCCAAGGGCTGCACAATTCATTTTCAACAAAAACCAGAGTAAGGCTGCACTAATTATGCCAGGAGGTAAAACACTAATGTATAGCAGCAGTGTAATGGAATTTCCAGCAGTGTAATGGAAAATAAAGCATTCCATTTCATTTCATTAATGTAGCCTAGGCAAGGCTAGGTTGATGACCTGTGGTCAGGTCGTGCTTGCTATGAAGCGTGCTGGATGTGTTTTGTAAACACTGAGAGCTTTGCACTCGGTAGCTATCGGATCAATAAATATGCCACCTGAAGTAGAGAAAGGGGCCAGTCGCCCAGGGCAAGGGCCCAGAGGAGTTGGGTCAGTACTGGTTTCTCTGTCTTAGGGTTAGGCCCTTTAGTCGTGAGTTTTTGTTTGGGGAAGTTTTGTTTTAAGGGGATTGTGAGTTATTGGGATTTGTGAGTTTAGAGAAAAGAAATTCTTTTAGGGTCAGATACTTTGTTTGATTAGATTACGAGGGAATAGATTCGTTTTTGGGGATTGTAAATTTAAAGTTCTAGCTGCCTCCAGAACGTTTCCTATCAGGCATTCATTAGTGGGCTATTTGAAAATAGCTGTTACTGTGTTGTATAGGATATTTGATTGCTTTAAGACAATAAAAGATTCAGTACTGTGAATACAATAATTTGACAGCCACCCAGCTCATAACTTAAGTTATATAAGGTTAAAGATTCGGGTTCACTAAAGCTACCCTCCCATGTGTATATGCAGGATAACCTGTGAAGTGTGAGGGGGTTTTCTACATATCACAGCAGGGAAGGCGTTACTCAGGGAGACCCACTATCTATGATATTGTATGGATTAGCCACTTTGCCTTTAATTTATGAATTAAAAACCATCCCAGATACAAACCAAGTATGGTATGCAGATGACTCATCATGCCAAGGAAAACTTTAATGTGATGAAATGGTGGGAGAAATTACAAGAAATTGGGCCTAAATATGGTTACTACCCACAAGCTCACAAAACCCGTTTGATTGTTGGATCTGAACCATCAACATTAGACCCAGCCAACATATCAGGATTAGAGGTTGTTACTGGGAGTAGTTTTTTAGGATTTGTTAAATGTGACAAAAATGAAAAAAATGACTTTATTGAAAAGAAGGTAGAAAAGTGGAATAGTCATTTTGTGAGACTGTCGAATGTAGCTGAAAAATATCCACAATCTGCTCAGGCTGTTGCCACAAAATCCATACAAGCTGAATGGAATTTTTTTCAAAGAGTTGTTGAAATGAAGACATTAATTTTCATTGGATAAAAAACTCAATAGAACAAAACCTATTGTTCCTGCTTTATTTGGCTCTCATCTAAACCAAGATGAACAAAAAATATTACATCTGCAAAAAAAATATGGAGGAATTGGTTTAGTTTATTCTACCACTCAGGGAAAAGCATTGTTCCGAGCTTCAAAGAAATGTTGTAAACTCATTATGGAATCCCTAAAAACTAAGAGGAAAATATTTATTCAAGAACTTATCACAAAAAAGGACTTGAAAGAGGAGAGAAGATTAGAAGGGTAAAACATTTTGAAATCGACTATTAAAAATATTCCTCTAAAACAATAAAGAATTATCTTGCGAGGAGCAAATACTAAATCAAAACACAGTGGATGGCTGTCATGTGTTCCATTAAAAAAATACTTAACTTAGATCTTTTGCCACTGAAGTTCAGAGATGCTCTTACACTAAGATATGGGAAAACTCCTATACACCTACCCTCTTCATGTGATGGCTGTGGCAAAAACTTCAATATGGAACATGCCCCTAACTGTCGCACAAGTTGGGTTGATAATAAGAAGACTTAATGAGGTAAGGGATACACTTGGAAGCTTGATGGAGCTATCATGGGGAAACTGTGTTCGAGAACCAATGATCTCTGAGCAAGGGTCATTGGATGCTGCAGCACTGAAAGCAGACTTGGCTTGTAGGGGTGTATGGGAGGTTCAGATGGAAGCATTATTCGATGTACATGTCGTTGACACTGATGCTCCAATGTACTTGAACCTCCCTTACGAAAAAGTTTTGGAGAATGCAGAAAGAGAGAAGAAGAGAAAATACATCAATAACAGAAATAAGAAATGCTTCTTTCACCCCACTAGTCACGTCTGTGGACGGAATGCTAGGCAAAGAGTTTCAAACCTTGCTCAGAGCAATGGCAGAACGCACAGAGAAATTGGTGAACGAACATACATTGGAAAAAAAAAACATCGCCACAAACAAATCGAGAACCTCCTCCTTTTGTTGGTAGTGGGGAAGTCGGTTAAAAATAGAAGAAACCTTACAGTTTAGTGATGAACTGGATAAAGGTGCAACATCTGTGCGACATTAAGTACCAGCAGCATGTGTCTAAGGAGGACAAGAAAGAAGTGGAGGACCCTTAGAGAGTTTGAAGATGGGGCTGGAGTACCAGCGTTTGACTAAATTAAATAGCAAATTGTATTACAATAATCTTGATAGTAAAGAAATTTAGATTAGGACAAATGAACTTACAGTTATTAAGGCTGCGGTTACGCGAAATTGGAGGAGTCGGGGAAGACACATGAGATGCTATAGACTGTTCCAGCTCATGATGTTCCTGAGCCAACATGCTGAGTGCTTCCTCCAACACTCTACACTTCTCTCTCTCTTGCTTCAGCTGCATCACTCTCACCTACAACAACACATATGAGATTCTATAAACTCCTCCAGCTCATGATGTTCCTGAGCCAACATGCCTAGAGTGCTTCCAACACCCTACAAGTCTCTCTCTCTCTTGCTTCAGCTGCATCACTCTCACCTACAACAACACATATGAGATTCTATAAACTCCTCCAGCTCATGATGTTCCTGAGCCAACTTGCCTAGAGTGCTTCCAACACACTACAAGTCTCTCTCTCTCTCTTTCTTCAGCTGCATCACTCTCACCTACAACAACACATATGAGATTCTATAAACTCCTCCAGCTCATGATGTTCCTGAGCCAACATGCCTAGAGTGCTTCCAACACACTACAAGTCTCTCTCTCTCTCTCTTGCTTCAGCTGCATCACTCTCACCTACAACAACACATATGAGATTCTATAAACTCCTCCAGCTCATGATGTTCCTGAGCCAACTTGCCTAGAGTGCTTCCAACACACTACAAGTCTCTCTCTCTCTCTTGCTTCAGCTGCATCACTCTCACCTACAACAACACATATGAGATTCTATAAACTCCTCCAGCTCATGATGTTCCTGAGCCAACATGCCTAGAGTGCTTCCAACACACTACAAGTCTCTCTCTCTCTCTTTCTTCAGCTGCATCACTCTCACCTACAACAACACATATGAGATTCTATAAACTCCTCCAGCTCATGATGTTCCTGAGCCAACATGCCTAGAGTGCTTCCAACACCCTACAAGTCTCTCTCTAATTTTCATTGATTAGATTTTGTGATCTAAAATGTCAAGTGTATTGATGTCCTTATCCAGTTGAGGTATATGTAGAATACCCCCACCACAGCAAACCCTCCAGACTAAGCAAATTGCCATCTACTTAGCTGGAATTCCAAAAAAATAATTCCCTTAAGATTTTAAGATTTGTTTTCTTTTTAAATATAATTAATTATAAAGAGTACTTAGGTTTGCTGCTATAGAGACGACAATAAGGTGTGGTTTTTATTAAATATTAAAAGCTTAAGTATATAAAGTAAAAACATTTCCCAAAATTCATAAAAATATGTTCATAGACGAGCAAGCTGTAACAGTTTATTTATTCTCCACTAGCTGAATACCCGAGCTTCGCTACGGAAACTTTCAAATTGGTTGAAATTTTAAATAAATTAGTGTTTAAGTGCCAACAACATTCAGTCAACAATTTAGCTAAAACCTTCTTTGCTTCAAACAATGTCATCAAGCAGCTATTATAATGTCTCACCCGGTTCATAAAGTGTGTATGCTTAGTGTGGTTACCCATGACCAGAAATTTAATTTAATTTTTAATTTATTTTTAAGGGAATTTCTTTCTTTCGCAATCACCATTATAAGGCACTAGGGCAATCCCTGACTATCGTCGGTTTAATTTAGAAAATGCATGCTTTTCACACGGATAGCTGTATGTTGCGTGCTCACGTGGTGGTAGGTACGCCTAAAAACTTATATATTTATACACCTAATAAAAAAACTAAAAACCCTGTTTATCCACTGGCAATTAAGTTAAATATTCTACTTTTATCTTTGGAATACACTTTTATTATTCATCGTAAAGAACAAATTACCATTTAAAATAATAGTTGTTAAGCGCAGCAACGCGGGCCGGGTAACTGCTAGTATATATATGAATTTGAACGGATGGTATTTTTGGCTTCTGGGGACCTCAAAACAAAATACTCCCGCCGCAGCAAACCTGCCGACTAAGCGAATTTCCATTTGTCTTAATTGAATTTCAATTAAATATATTTTAATAACATTAGGTTTAATGACGAGTACCTAGGTTTGCTGCTACAAGGAAACTAATATAGTGTGTTTTTTTGTAAAATATTGATAGCTTAGTACAAAATAAATAAATTTGATCAAAATACAAAATATATCCATAAACAAGCAAACTACAACATTTGAAAATATTCTCCATAAGAATAACATGGGAATTTTAAATTTACAATTTTTTTAATTTTCTCCGTTACAATTAACCGAACAAAAATACTTTTATATACTAAATTAATTGTTTTTTTTAAGCTCTTTAAAAAGGTCTAAAGAGAAATTGGGAAATTTGGTGTTTTGAGGGTCAAAAGTGAGAAAAACCAATTTTTACCCCATAAAACCTCCCGTAAAGCCCCGTTCCCATGGTCCGATCATGCTGGTTCGCGAACTCATTCAAGTTTATCTCGCTTTACACCTTTAAACCAAATTTCATCAAAATCGGACAAAAATTACTCAAGTTATCGCGTTCACGGACGTATATATATATATATGTCTATATTTTATATATATATATATATAAATTTGAACGAATGGTGTTTTTGGCCTCTGGGGACATCAAAATGAAAAAGTAAATCGGTCCCGGGTCTAGGTCTTACCGTGCCACCTACGGTAATAGTAGCTATTACCCTATAAGGAAATTCGCTATAGTATTTTGGTGTAGAAAATGTAAATTAGTTGCTTAGGTAGTTTGTGAAAAGTACAAATTTGCACAACAAGGTTTTTAGCAGGTGGTCACAGTTTCAATCAAGATAATGAACAAATTTGATGAAATCTTGATTCCTGATCAGCATGTACCCGGGTTTACCACTCATCTTGGTTCAGACATTCTGTATCAGTTACACAATCTCGAGTTCACTCTCATCTTAACCCCCATGCATTTTTTCCCCACTGCTTCAAACAAAACTTGTGAATGATTAACCGCTGCTGGTCTTCACCATGTAAAACACCATAAACATTTTGCCTATGATCATAACAACCTCGGATCTACCTTCAACTCTTTTTTTGCTCATTTTCTACGTCCAAACGCTTTTCTCCATTCGCATCCTTCATCAGGTGATGGACTCCGATTTGTCGTACCATACTTTACTTTTATACTTTTCAATAAAATTGCGACCATACAAAGTAGGTATTTTAAGCCGAGTATGAATGGTGATGAGTGTAGGATGAGTGGCGCGATCTGTTAGTCTTGTTAGTGACTAAGGCCGACATATTCCTTAGACACAGCTGTTAATTAATAGCCCATACAGCTAATGACAACTAAGGGACCTACAGTTTATAGTGGAATCCGAACCACGTTTTTGACTTGGTATGTATATACCAAGGAAAAATGTGGTTCGGAATTGGTCTAATTATCAGGATAGTACTGCGGATAGTCGTAGTACTCACTCGTGCGTACGTTAATCCACACCAGGGAGTATCGCATACATAGGGTTGGGAAACCAATATAATATTGTTAGATGAAGTAAAGAAAACATATTGTACTTAGTTTAGCACTTGGCAGCAAAGTGAATTTAATTGGAGACTTTAATTTACAGACAGTCCTCTTATTTACTTACCTTTCCCCTTGAATCATTGCAGCTTGATCACTGCATTCGTCTTGACACAATTACAACTATTACAAGATTTATAAAATTAATCACACCTTGAAAATTATTTCTTCAAAGTTTAAAGTACTTAGCTATACCATAATTTAGCTCTTTGTGGTAAATTATACCACTATTTGTAACTTTCAAATGTTACTGATCACTTCATAATTTTAAGGATATTTTATACTGAAGATGTACATTTAGTGTTGTATATAGTCAATGTGACCTTAAACATCACTAACCTCCTCTTGTTGGTGTATCAGCGTAAGACAGTGACCTAGTGAGTTTAACATGCTGGAGGCAGCTTCGGTTACTCCATCAAACTTCTGCAAACAAATTAATAAAAGTTCTATAGCCTAGTCAGTAAAACTTTGTAAACTGAGGTACTGTAATATATATGAGCGTTATCCCAAAAGTAAGGTGCGGTTAAGAAAAAAATTTAAAATTGATTTTTTTCCCAGGACAATTGTTCAATTTACATTCCTTGCATATTTGTCTAATTTTCTACATAATTTCCATACTTATTTAAACATTTGTCACATCGTTCAACAAGCTTTTGAATGCCTAAATCAAAGAAATTGGCTGCCTCCAAATATAACAAGTTTTTCACTGCTTCTTTCACTTTATCATCGGTGTCTAAGTGCTTGCCGACAAAAAAATCCTTTAGGTAGCAGAAATGTGGAAATCAAAAAGTGAGAAAAGTGGAAAACAAGTGGAGATCTGAAATAGTGAATCGTCGATCTTCACTAATTCTTGGTCGACCACATTGACCAAGTCTTCTGAAATCACCGATGGTCGGCTGATCACTGACAGTGACTCATCATGCACATTTCCCCGTCCTTCATTAAAAGCTCACACCCACTTGCGCAAATTATTTTTATTTTCATTTTTAATTCAAATATCACACGAAGAAAGTTATAAAAGTTATTTTAATTTCAATACTAGAGAATAGCCTTTTTACTCTCTAATGCCTAACAAAATTATCTACATCAACTCAGCACATCATCATCCCTACATGCCCAACATCATCTCATCTACAGAAGGCGCCTTCTTCCCCCAGCAGTGAGGCCCTAATATAATTCCCCTATGCTGCCATCTCTCTCATCGACAGGATCTTCATTCTTCACACCTTTAAGGCTCTAAGGCTCTGGTTCTTCAGCTACAATAACGCCCATGCTCAAAAAAATTGGAAATCAGGTACTCTCAGTGTTTCATTTTTGCCATATTTAATCATGTAACAGGTGTACTTTAAATGTTTGTTTTATTCACAAGACTTACAGCTTTTTATATTTTGAAAGAGCCTAATTGCCTAAGAGCCTTGCGTCAATATTCAATTTTTAAGTTGGTCTCAACTCTTATACCCTGGAAGTACGCAAAGTACCGTTCAATATTTAAAAAAAGACCGGTAGGCCTAACTGATTTTTGAGCAAGCAGCTGTAGGTAATTCTGAACAATTACTTGGTCAACCCCAAACTTTTTCATATTTTACTACGGTCAAAAGGATGTTCTCAGAAAACAAGAAACATATAATTCAAGCCCCGCAAGGTTAGGTTAGGTTAGATTAGGTTGGGCTAGGTTGGGTTAGGTTAGGTTATGATTAACCTAACCTAAAATAACCTAACCTAACAGTACTGTCACAACTCGTCTTCCGTGCGTCTCCCGCAAGCCACTGTTATCGCGTGGACTTTGAACCTTCTTATCGCTCGGCAACCTGTACGATGGCCTTGCGGGGCTTGAATTATATGTTTCTTGTTTTCTGAGAACATCTTTATGACCGTAGTAAAATATGAAAAAGTTTGGGGTTGACCAAGTAGTTGCTCAGAATTACCCAGCTGTATTTTTTCAGCACACCAATTGTAGCAGAAATTTCCAATGTGTAATTTGCTGATTTGACGTCGTCAGATGTTTAGCTACTACTTTGTTTATTTTTAAGGTACTACAGTTAATTATGTAATAAAAAAAAAAATTAAAAGAAAGATGACACACTTCGTGTTACAGAACTTACTTTGACAGCTTGATGTAGTGGTGTTTCCTGATCTTCAGATTGTGTTTGATTGTCCAAGTAGGCTGCAATCTCTTGTAATCTTTTCTCTACCAGTTGATATCTTGCAGCTGCAGTCTGTAGAGCATCCTGTTGATATAGAGAAATATGATTAAATGACATGTATGAATCAAAGAAAACCATTCACACCTTTGATCTTTTGACATGAAAACTGAGTTTTTCCTACAATCTAAAATCAATGTAGATGCTTTCTGCAACCGTGATAATATTGTACCAATTTTATCCCGCGGCCCGGGCTTGATTATTTTTACTCGATGCTTGACCATTCCAAGCTTTAACCTTAGGCTCATTTTATTATTTTTTTTAAACAAAAAAGAGAGAACTGGTTTAAATAATAACATAGGCTCGAATTTAAAAACCATAGAGTCTGTGCTAGTTAGTGGGGTACATTTTGAATGATACTAGTTTTAGGCTGAGAATGACTTGTACATAATATTAAATATTTTGTAGCATCAGTTTTACACTGTAAACAGCACTCACTTGCATGGATCCTAAAGGTTTGATATCGTTCTCTTCGTCATCACTGTCGTTCAATAAGTTTCCTTGGTTCAGGTAGTGGGAACTGTATGCTGCATGTTCACTTAACGCTGTTAACCATTTCTAGAATATAAACAAGATTAGGATATTAACAGTCTTGTAAACATATTAATTTTTAGTAACCTATTAATTAAATTTTGATTTGAATTTTAATCTTACAACACGGTTAAGAAAGTTTTATTGAAATATTTACAGTGTTCTACCCATTATAACAAATCTGTACATTTTTAAGCTACAAAAAAAGTTCACATGACGCCAATCACCCATGGATTTTATCCAGGTGATGAATCCACAATTCTCTAGACCTAGCCTGAAATGTGAAAACGGTTCCGGGCTAGAGCTTAGAGGATAGAAAAACATACCATCCTAGCGACTTCTCCAGTCATGTCCTCCCCGCTGATGGGGACACTGAGACGATGTATCACTCCATCAGAGAACACGATGGTGAACGCAGACAGCGCCAGGTCCGATGGCACACCCTGCGCTCCGTCCAGGTACTTGAAGTCTTTACGCTTCACTCCAGTTAGAGCATCAGCTCGGCTGTTAAAGTACGATAACACTCCTCGCTCCAGGACAGCCTACGACAAGGCAAAAGTTATGAAGATATTTTCATATTTTGTAGTAGCCAGTGGTTTATGTTGACTAACAAAATTGAATTGGATAGCCTAAATGCTTCTGCGTAATCCAATTGTTGCTTATTGCCGCAGCTAGATTTGCCTCCACATCCACCTAGTAGTGTCATATTATTCTCCATATCATTGTTAATGTCTTTTCAATTGTTTTAAATTTACAGTTTTATCATTTAAATGTCTGAGCATGTTTTGTTTATCCATGGTGATGGTTTTGATAACACCGGCCACAAAAGCAGGAAAACATTTAGGAAGATTGTATTGTTTATGTTTGTATGTGTCTGTTTATGTACTGTTTATGAATCAACGACCTTCTGATGAAGTGATTATCAGATCATTCAAAGCTATAAGATTACTCAAAGACATGCAACAATAAGCAAGAATTTGATTACTCAGAAACAGGTATTGTAAACAGATTATGAAAATATTTTACAGCCTTTCAAAAATACATACCAGGCAGTGCTATTTAACATTTCTGAGAATCTTTTTCAGAGTAATTACTTTATAATACACTTAACATTTAATTTAAAATCTATATCTATATTCTATATTATTATTATTATTATATATAGGGTGAGTGCACCAGTGAATGACTGTTTAAGGTTGACTTTCTACTTGTAAACTGACTGGGAAAATATACTACTAAGCTACATTCTACAAAATCGTTAAAATGTATTGCCCATATTTCCCTGTGCTTCCCGATGATACAACTTAATATATTATGTTAAAAAAAGTGTCGAAAAATAAAATTTGTTGCATATAAATCATGGCACCAGTGAATGACCGCATATTATATAAAAAATTTAAAATTGTATAAAAATCTCCTCCTTTTTGCCAAATAACTCCCGTTCAAGATTTTCGCATCGAAGCTGGAAACCCTGTAGTGAAAAATAACGATAACAGGGTCGTTAAAATATAGTTTCTAGTTATGTGGATACACTATAACCAAAGTTTGAATACGAGATAAAGCTTATGGTCATTTCACAGATAAAAAGTGATCTTTCACTAGAAACGCATTCAAACTTTGATTATAGTGTATCCACATAATTTCTGATGAGTTTTTGTGTTTCCTAGCAATCACTTGCTCTATCAGAAAACATTGTCATCAATATCAACAAAGAAAATTGACCCAAATCCAGTTAATGACCGAAACGGTCATTCATTCACTGGTTATACCCTAATTTGTGAACCAGTAATTGACCGTCTGTTTAAAGGGAATGTTGCTGAAAGTCAACAGTCCCGGAAGATCAAATAATTTATACCTGTGCCGCTAGGTCAAAAACTACAATGTTTGCAGTGTCTGTAGATCAAAAATCCCAGTAAGTCAAATAGTACAGTCCGAGCTAAAAACGTGGTCAATGTTAAAGCAATTGACTTATTGGGAATTTGACCTAATGCAACAGCAGTTTTAATATAACGAAATACGGTAAAATACAAGTTCAGTTTCGCTGAGTCAACAGTGCCGGAAGATCAAAAGCAATAAAAGTGAACGTCGATTCAGTGTAAAGTAGACCTCCCGCAACGCTTACTACGCCAACAAAACTCGCTTTTAGTTACTTCGTGTTTTGTCATAATTAGAATAGAGCTAAAATTATCATATTTGGTACATAGCTTATCTATTAATGCTTCTTGCCAACTGTTTGGTCAACACTGTAAATAGGTATAGTTTATGTAATGAAAAGCCTTTCGTCAAAATTTGTGGCATGAAATACACGCAAGGACGATCTGAAAATTTCTGGTTATTATATACGTTTGTAAAAGGAGACCCATTTAATTTTAGAACTATTTTATGAGTTATAATGTAGTCTACACATCAACTGGGTAAATGTATTACGCCTCGGAAGGGTTGAAACCTGTCCAAACTATCATATATATTATTAAAACGTAAATGGGGGTTTTTCACATTCTGAATCAACCAGTCGACGGATTTTCATTATTTTTGTGTTGAAAGAAAGATAATTTTGAGAACTAGGGAATGTAAAAAGCCATAATTATAATTAAGGGTCCCAGTTTTTTAGAAATTAAGTTTTAATTTTTTTAAAGTCTAGCAGCCGACGCTAACCTTAAGCTAGCTTTTAGTACAATATAATTTGCTTAACATAACAGCTGTATACATTCAGCATTTGTGACACAAATTCAGCATTTGGAAACAAATTTAAAGACATATTTAGAGTTGACCTATTTATTCTATGTGTAATGCTGACCATTGATACATTCAATTCTTAGGTATGAGGATGGCAGATTAATTAAATATGCATAGTAAAATTGTAGTATGTTCAAATGATTTTTTAAAGGAATCTTTGTTCTCATTGATTTGTTTTAGTCCCATATAATTTGTTTTAACTAACAGCTGGTTGAATGTAATATTGTTCTATATAACTATTAGGTTTTTGGCGAATTTCCCATATAGGGAATAAGCTATTACCGTAGTACTTATGGTAACACCTGGACCCGGGACCGATTAAATTTTTCGTTTTGAGGTCCCTAGAGGCCAAAAACACCATCCGTTCAAATTCATATATACAGGGTGATCAACTCAAGGAGGCCACCATTGGGAAATCGGAAACGGTAAGAATTAGAGAAAACTTTAAATGGGGGACATTCCTTTATTTTTTGTGGCAGTTAAAAATGTGATTTTAGTTTTTTGATCATGTTTTTGGATAGAATATGCAATTTAAAAACTTTTTTAGCCTTGACATTATTTTGATAAACCCACTCGTTTAGGAGTACAGCCTATGGAAAAATGACTTCCGGTGTACATTTTACATCATGTAGCTCCTAAACGAGTAAGTTTAGAGCAAAATTGTAAAAAGTAAATTAGTCTTAGAATTGCATCTACATTCCTTAAAGACTAAAAAACAACAAGTTTTCCACTTTTCAAGTTTGCCGCCATTTTTTTAATAATATAATTCATATTTTTAATGAATTTTATGGTCTTTTTGGAATGTGGATGCAATTGTAAGACTTTTTTACTCTTCGCATTTTAGCTATAAACTTACTTGTTTAGGAGCTACATGATGTAAAATGTACACCGGAAGTCATTTTTCCATATGCTGTAACTCCTAAACGAGTGGGTTTATCGAAAAAATGTCAAGGATAAAAAAGTTTTTAAATTGCCTATTCTATCTGAAAATGATATAATCAACGGTTCTTGCAATTTATTGTTTATTGTTTTTTAGAGTTGTTTCGGACTTACTCACACTCGTATAAGGTTGTCCACGTTTGTCAATGATAATGTAGACATGTTACACCCGTTGTCACGAATATGTTTACAAGTTTTCCGACTGTTTTTGAATAGCGATACATTTTTTCACATACTTAAGAACCACCTGATTTCGTGCATTACATGTTCGTCTCAATTTTATTTGCTTTCGTAGGCATTCTTTTGGTTGATGAGGACTTCAATAGGTCCTTTGCTCATGAAATATATTACTTAATTAATTTTTATTGTTTGGTAAAATGGATTAAATTATCCAGCAAACCCAAATAGAAATAGTAAATATAGTATTTCAAAAAAATCAGTAACATGTTAATAATGTAGCCTACATTATTTCCTTGAATTGCATAACAGCAATTAATTGAGCTGATCCTTATATAAATAAATCAATATGTTCTTCATAGGCATAACATGGGTTCTTTAAGAGCCACTGGGTCTGAGCCCAAGGGATTTTAAAACGTAATGTTGGTTTGCAAATGTACGTGACACGCTCTTTCTAATGAGACATGAATGGTCAAAATCGCCTAAGAAATGCGGAAGAGTTCAACGGAAAAATTTCGTGTTGGCGTTACAGTATGGTTGAAAAGTCCTGGATTGGCTATATTTTTTTAACAATATAGATAAAGTAGTGAGACTTGGTATATCAATAATAGCCATAAATATCTACTGTCTTAAGCTATTATCACTTTTTTATCCCTTAAGGGGGGTGGACCACAAAGACTAAGACAAAATTCTTATATAATTTTAATACTATTTTACCTGTTTTTGAAATGGCGACCATACAAATGTATGCATTTTAAGCCAAGTATGAATGGAGATGAGTGTGATGAGTGGGCTGTAGGCGGAAAAATACGAACAAACTAAACTATTTATTAACAAAACTTTTTTTGTGTTGAAATTTAAAGACAATGGTCTCAAACTCTACACCGAATAATGCTAATTCATAATGGTTATTATATCTATGATCGATAATGTAGCCATGTTGCTTTGAAATGGTGACCATACAAATGGATGCATTTTAAGCCAAGTATGAATGGAGATGAGTGTGGGGTGAGTGGAGCGATGTTGTTGTCCTGTTTGTGACTAAGGCCGACATAATCCTTAGACACAGCTGTTAATTAATAGTGCATACAGTCAATTAATAGCAGCAGAGGTCAAGTTTGGTATCAAATTAAAGGTTTTATTCATAAAAATACATTGCCGCAAACCCAAACTCAAACGATGATGATGATAAGTCGCTAAAACGTATAGTTTGAAATTTAACAGCTGAATATAAGTGAAATAGAAAAGGTTTTGGTTAAATCCATCAAATTGTAATTGGACACTAGTAAATACTAGTGAACTTGTTGCTACCTATCCCCCCTTCGGTTTCATGTATTCCTCTCAATCAGTTCAAACCTAGGAGGATTAAACATTAATGTTAATTAATGTTAAATCCTCCTAGATTCAAACCTGAAACACCCAGATCGAAACTCGCCTGTCGTTATTTTACCATCGCCTTTTTTTTTTAAATATATTTTTCAAAAAAGAAATATTATATTGATTTACTTTGGATTTTAAAAATGTTAACGTTTTATTTTGTTAAAGATTTATGGTGATAAGTAAATATTGTGGTGTAGTAAAGTATATTATATTGTAGTTAAGTGTTAAATTTTGAAATTTTAGGGTGAATCGAGATGAATCTTTGTTTATAACATGCGTCTCTCCTACCTTAACATACTGTTACAAGTCA